CTCAGAAAGCTATGTGGTCGGATGCTGAAGATGACTTGTTCGACGATTTCACTGACACCGTACCTGTTGCTGCAGAAGGTGCACAAGGAGATAGTTTCGGTACGGTTTGCCAAAATTAATTTCAAGCTAATTTGTGAGAAAAAAAACCTCTTGACCACTATAGCAACATTAACAACAGAAACTTTTTTTAAAAATTCCCAGAAATTTTCTCCCAACAAGGACTAATGATTTCTAGACTGTTTTGTACATCCAGATACTGGATCTCAAAGCAGTTTTGATGGCAAAAATATGCATGCAAACAGCATTCCAAGGGATACTCAACGTCGAGACAGGTTTTTTCAGCTTAATCGAAGCAAGTATAGGTCGTCTTTGAGAAGAAAGTTTTATTTTCAGAATTGTTGTTAGTTTTGACAATGATCATGGTGAACCAGTCGAACCATCAAATGAGTTTGAAAAAATGCTGCTCAGGGAAGGCATCGAAGTGCGCAGAGATGAGAATTACAGGAAATACATGTACATAGGTATACTTTGGCCGATGTTACCCATGCCTCGATGAGACCAGATTTATTATTTCTCTGTAATTTACGAATTATATGGCTTTATTCTAGGCGACATTACAAGCGATGTTCTAGCTGTAAAACTGGAATCATGCATGCGTGTTCGTCGAGTAAGTCTTCCTCACTATTTTTCGAACAAGTCTCCGATATAAGCGTTCTCATTCAGTTCAAGGATGATTTGTTGGAGGCGTTCGAAGAAGCCCTGAAACAACAAGAAAATCTCATAACGTATCTTGAAGCATCCCACTCGTGTGTTTTACCTCACATTTCAGTTTTTGACGATTTCTTGGGCTGTTCTTCTTGTTTTTGTTCCATACGTTTTTTCTGTCATTTCCTGTGATATTTTCAGCTCTTGTGGAATCCAGGAGTCAATTTTCCGGGTACTTATCCTGTGTCGTTCTTCTCAAGGCAAAGCATTCGATTTGCTTATGTCTCAGCTACAAAATCTGCAAAAGTAGGATTAGCTCGTCAACTTTTTCCTTAACCGTTTATTGGCTTTTATGGGTGGGTTTGTATTCATTTCAGAGGAAATCAGAAAGAAACTCTCAACCTGTCCCATCTTTGCATTGCTCAAATGCGCTTTATAAATCGCATCTACTGCAGCCAAACTCTGTTCTGTTCAATATTCGGAAGAGACATTGAGAAATGGTCTCCAGAAATTCGAAACTCTTTGATTTCATCAATTCCCGAGGTGAGTGGCTTTTGTGGTATTTTTATTACTGTTGTCTTGGGACGCGAAATTTCGGAACTTTGAGGGAAGAGTGGGTTGTTCAGGTACTTACTGATGTTGTCGTTCAACAAGAAGCAGTTAGAGAGCTCCAGTCGCTCCTACTCCGAGATGTTAAAACTGATCCGATTGGTTGCAAGCTGGCTGTCATATCTGCTCTTTCTCTGTTAAATTCTGATACGGAGACGTCTAAAAAGGTTGGCATCTTGCAACAGTTTTGAATTGTGCTTATCCTATTTACATGAGGTTTAATGCCCTATATGGACTACTGCTTATCGATAAATACCTTCGCAGCTGTTGGGATCGGGAGATGTTGTACAAACTAATGCTCAGCGGTTCAAATTCAGATGCAAGACAAACTCACAAAATCACTGAGTGATTTTGATGTTGAACTGCTTCCTTCGTTAACTGATCTCCTCATTCAACGTCTGGAGATTTCCAACAAAGGGGCATTGGCCAATTTGCTCACACAGTTATCAACAAACCTCCATGTAGACCGGCTGCGTATTTCTCGTCGCGGTAAACTGTAAGTACTTTACTTACTTGTAGGTTTACATTCCATTTCAGTCATCTTTACTAATGTTAGTGCTAAATAGTTGTTTTAGGCATATTACCCTTGATGGCCTTGTTGGAGAGATTTTCGATAAAATTTCTCAATTTGTCGTGTTGAGTGGGGAAACGGGTTGGAAGGAAGTACAGCGATTCTTCAGAAGTGGGAAGACAACCGAAAAATCCAGTGCTACACAAGCGGCATCACAAGATAGTGTGGTCGACTCCGATTCTGACTCATCTCGGGTTTGTTTCAGGCTTTAACCCTCTTTGATATACTACTTGCAATCGATCTGCTGGCATTACGTACCTGTCCACTGAGTGCATCGAATGTTATAAAACAACGCTTCCTTCTTTCGCAAGATAACCTCGAGTCTCTGAGTCGTTTATTTGGAGAAGCTCTGAAATTCAAGTCGGTATGTTTGCTTTTCCTGCAATACGGAACCTTAAAAGAGCAAATCTATCGATGACTGGTCATTTATGAGTTTATCAACTCGCAAATATTAGGATTCGTCAGCGGTTTTTGTTGTAGCATTGTTACTTTTGGCACGCCAGTACTCCTATGCAGCCTTGGCGATGAAGATGATGTCTCGCGATAAGATACATCTTAATGTCGTCAAAGAAACATTCGAATAGGTTTATGTTAACTTTTTTAAATTGAAAACGCTGTCTTTAGTTGTGTGAACGCAATGTTTCACCTCTCATCTCTATAGCTCAACAATGTTTATGGTCAGCAAAAGAAGAAACTCAGAAGTTTGGAGCGAAACTTTTTAAAGACCTTTTCATAGCTCTTACTAAATGCAGGGAGGTGAGTGAAGTTTGACTGAACTAGCATTCACCCCTCCCCATTGCTTTACAGTTGGAGTGCATGCTCCTTATTTCATTAGTTAATACTTTCTACACTAAATTAGCTTTCAGCTTANTCTAAAAACGATGTTATCGCATTCTGTGCAGTCGGAAAGTGAATCTGAAGCTGTACTTTATGAGCTTACTGATCTCATCGACACAAACGCCGAGGCGATAGAGCCTTTCATCGCCCTCATGACGGTTGGTTCTCATCTGAACAACAAATTATGGTGTTAGACTCGCGATTCTTATGAATTTTGACACACCTGTCGGTTGATAAAATTCATTTCTTTCTCTAATTACGTCCATTATTTTGGCTCCTACTGTTTGTTTTTTTCATTTTACAATGAACTGCATTCTTACTGCATCTTCTCGCGCCTGTTTCCTACTAATGTCTTGGCACTGATTCCCACTCATGAAAATCATCTTTTGTTTGTTCAACGAGTCATATGGTTCCATTTAGGAGTACTTCTTCATTCTCGACCGAATGTCCATACCAAATATCAAGCGCTTTTTCCGCGCCATTTTCCGTCTGTATGCGGCCAAGCCATCCACGGCTACACAAAAGGTTGGCTATGCTTTATTTTCGATTTTCCATCCAAACTACTAAGTGGTAAAGCTTTTTCCTGCTTCAGGATAACCTAAATGATATGATACCGTTGTTTTTGCGTTCGGCAAACAATGTACAACCAGTTTTTGGTGTTTTGGCAGTATTAATTAAACTGGAAACGGCGCTGCTACTTGATGAGTACGTTTATGTTTCCACCCATTGAAATAAACGTATTTTTGGCAATACTTACATCAACAGAATTCAGATCTCCGTCCAGAGAAAGTGACGTAGAGTGTTCCTTGAAGCTGCTTGAAGAGGCACGTAGTTCATCAGCATACATCAGAACTTGCTGCTATAATGAATTATCTGAGGTGTTACGAATGTGTTTTGGATGTTCAAAAAGCTCAGCAATGGTTTGTTAGCGTTTTTCTTTCAACTGTTCTTGCTCTCCATGCTGTTTGGTTCAGAACCAATGGCTGACCGTATTTATAGAGGAATTTCGTTCGGATTTCTTCACGGATTCTTATGAACCTTCTAGGTAATAGTTTCTCATACTATTTCTCCTATGGAACCCACTTAAATTCCGTTTTTTCTGGACTCCATCGAAAAACATTCCTAGTGCTGATCTTAGCCTCGTTTAGAGAGTTGGAAGGTGAGCGTTATGCAAACTCTGAAACAAGTCTATGGTTGAAGTGCTTAGATGGCCAAAATCTAGGAGAGGCTATACCGCTCTTGGAGGCTGTCATGGTAACTTTAAATAGTTGTTAGTTCCTGTTCAATTTATTGCTGGCATTGATTTAAGGAGGCTATCCGTCTGCAAGAGACTTGGCCAAGTGCCGAAACAATGGAGGCGACCCAACGAGACCGCTGGACACGGATCTTCTATGCTTTAAGTATGAATGGAGTTCTAATAATTGTTATGCTTGTAACGAAGCTTTTCTAGAAGTACAATGAAGGTGGATATTAATCCAGATGATGTATTCTAGATGCTAATATCTCTATGGAAGGGGTTGAAGGGGATTCGAAAGACTCTTGCGATGCTCTTTTTCGAACAATTCAATGGATACGAACGGTACGGTGCAAACTTCAAGAATGTCAAAATTTCTCGATTTTCCATGAAACTTCATCCCCCGTGACCTCAGGCAATGAGGATTTCAGCTATTCAATGTCTTCGCAGAAGAACAGGCCTGCCCAGCTGTAGATAGTGGCACCATAGATGTGCTTTGGACCAAAAAGTTCTTACTAATGTTCGAATGCCATAAAGAACTGATCAGTAAAGTGAAAGGTGAATGTTTTACAGCAAACTCTTCCATTTGATTGCCATACGAAAAGTGCAGGTATATTAGTACCTTGTTTTTTGTGAAACTGTTACATCATTTGGACATAAAAGTGTCAGACGCTTCAGCGCTCGGTCAGTGGTCACTCCCTGATAGGACACCCTTGTCAATGGTTACTGTAGTGGCAACAGAGGTGAAAAAGAAGCCAGTAAAGAAAGCTCCGAAAAGGAAACGGGCTGCAGCGACTGAAGAAGTAGGGGCTGCGGAGGTATGAAAACCATTATGCTTTAATTTTTTTCGTTGCTGCCCTTGTCTTACACATTTTCAAAGTACGGCAGAAGAAATGTATATTTGTGCCACAGCGCTTCAAAAGCTTCATGGAATTTGTCAGTTTATTTTATTCATTTATTAGCAATCCATATGTGCCTAGTCGCTCCGGAAAATGAAGCTTATATACAGTTGAGGTATTGATTGAAGCGTTACTGTGTTCTATTTAAGGATGTTCCTCCCCCTACACAGCCGATACTATCAAAAGACAGTGAAAGCAAGAGGTACTCGAGACTGTATTACCTTGCTTCGCTTAATCTCCATTCCCTTTCAGTCGCTCTGGAAAAAATGTCACTTTAGCGAAAATGATGTCATGCATGAAAACGTTGAAGCTCTCCGCTGTGGTGAAATTATTGGAGGTCTGATTCGTTCCTGCACTTTCAAAATCTGAAAAAAGAACATTGTAAATCTGGCTGTACACCTCCAACTAATCTTCTGTTTCAGCTGATGCAAGGCAAACGGCGTGCATCGATCTTCCTCATCGAGCACCTGCTCGAAATTCTTGTTCAAATTTGTCCACGAGTGGCCAAGAAGTCACTTCCGTGGGCGAAGGTAAGTCTTTTCTCACAGAAACAATTTGCAGACCGTGGAAAAAAAACTACTCTTTATTTTCGACCTTCAACGGGTTAATGTAGTTCTTGATGGGGTTTTTTCGTATTTGCTCTGGAGATACTTCGATTTGGTTTCATTGAATTTTAGGGATCAAAAGTTGGAGCATGTATCCATGGTGATCTTGCTGTTGTATTCGGTTTAATCGAAAAGGTATGTTGCAGCTCTCATCCAGCGAGTGACTATTGCTTTCGGCTTGACAGCCCTTTTGAGGGAAATTTTTAATGCCTTCCCTCCGATCTGTTGTCTTACAATACCCCTTTTTGTCGTGCTCAGTATCATCGGTACTTACTTTTTCCTTTAGTTGCTGCCAGTATTCTGGAGCACATTTTCGAAGACAGTATCGTACTTCCGTGATTTTATGAATTCTTCTGCGGTCGTGACGAATGAAGCTGATGTGAGTGACTTTCTTTTCCAAGAGCTCCTTTTCTGCAGCTGAAACCTATACTGAAGGCATTGGCATTCCGATAAGAGTTCAGGTTGTTGATCAACTTGCCAATTTGTTTCGACTATGCCTGGCGACATTAGAGCATTTGTTCTCGTGGTAGGTGCTTTATAAATATCTCTTCCTCTCCTGCCACCTGGCTGTTCCTTCTCTGAAAATAGACACATTGTCTCGTTTGTTTTTGTCTCTGTTAGCTTCCCTTACTCGAATTTTATACTTTGAGGGTTTACATTTGCAAAGTTCGCAATTTTCTGAGTCTTCCTATTTTCTGGTTTACCTTTTGTATTTTTATGAATATTAATAAGTCCACACTTGTTCCTACCTACGGCCTTACAGGAACCACATCACTTCTCTTCCCAGCGATTCAGATGCGGTATCATCCAGAAAAAAGAGCCGCCGTGATAAATTGATGGGAATTATAGAGCACTGTATTTTACAAGAAGATGGCGAGGTCTGATTTCCCATGTACAAAGCGTACTACTAACTATGAAATGATTCAGAGAAGCGCAGGAAGTGAAGCGGAAGTCAGCGTTTATGGGTATCTAGTAGACGTATGTGAGCAGGTGCCGAATGTGGGAGTGGCAATAGCTTTGCTTGGCTGTATCTCAGTGCTACGTGCACCATCTGAAGAGCTCAGTAATAAAATGGGTCGGTCGTTTGTTTACGCTAGTGTTTTCCTTGGCTTTCTTCAAGAAGTGATATCGGGTATTTGAAATTTTCACCAAAAGACTTTCTTTAAAAAGATTTTTTTTACTAAGACAATTTGTTCAAGCTAGGTACACCTTGGGCTTCCTGAAAAAAGAATGGGTTGATAAGGAGGGGCACCCTCTGAAGGGAGCAACTTTGACGTCAGCTGTTAGAAAGATTCTCAGGTCAGTTTTACTGTGGTCTACTCTCGGTTAGTCTACAACCATCGATGAAATTCTAGTCACTATCTACGTCTTCGGCCAGTGCAATACCGTTTATGTGCCATTCAATGGATTCTCGCGAAAAAGCTTGCTGACTTGGTATGCCATCTATTTTTGTCAGTAAAAATGGAAACGGAATCCAAATGTAGCTTTACTCTTCACAAGCTAAAAGTTTAAAAGTTTCGAGGCATTTTTATCAGATTCCCCATGAAGAGAGGCGCAAAAGTAAAGTATATGAGCAAGATTCTGATGATCAAGAAATGAATGAGAGATACACGGGTCAGATTTTCGCTTGCTTCACTCGGTAAGCTTAAATTTGGTAATTTTAATAGTGATTGTTATCTATGCATTTCTTATGCCCTCCATTATTCAGAGCCACTTTCGGTACAATTTATAAAGTTCTGTTCATCGCAATGAATGACGCATTAACAGAAACTGAAATTTCTCCGTCAAGTAGCTGCATACTGCGGAGAGGGAGTGTACAAGAGGTAGAGGTTTTATTTGAAGTCGTTTGACTCCACTTACTACACTGTTACAGTATCTACACACGTGGTCTATTGCGGCTGGATGTGTGGCATTATTTGGGCTAATGCTACGTGTACGCGAGCTAAGGAATACATCACTTCTTGTGACGGCAATCAAAGAGGGACGACGCTTTTTGGCGTTGATGAGCAATAAAAAGTAAGCCTTTCCTTCTTTTCACGATTGTTGAGGAGTCAGCATTTGCTATTCGTACACCCTTACGTACACATTTCCCTAAATTATTTACTTGTCCTATGATCAGTATATTTCAGCGGCTCTTTCATGTATCTGTTGGAGGAGAAAAGTCGCCTGGCTAGTGTCACAGATCGTGTCGTGGAGATCATTAAGTCCGTGCAGATTGGAAATCGAAACTTCCAGAATATTTGTGTGCACGCTAAGGTGAAGTTCGGATGATTGTAAGCAATAACAATGTAATTTGACATAAAAGTTGGAAAAAAGAACACTGTCTCTCAGAATCCATTTCCTGATAATGGCAGAAGGGTATAATTTCGAAGAGATTCATATCTAGGCGAATCGATCGAATATCCTACTAAAACTCGTGCCGGACTTTCGCGTCACGAATGAGCAATGGATGAGAGCAATTCAAGCAAAATTCGTGGGTATCAATTGCGAGGATGCCTTTGAAATTNAAAAAGAACGCTGTCTTTCAAAGAGCTCACTTTCCTGATAAGGGCAAAAGGGTTCAATTGCCATGGCATTCATATCTAGGCGAATCGATCGAATATTCTACTAAAACTTGTGCCGGACTTTCGCGTCACGAATGAGCAATGGATGAGAGCAATTCAAGCAAAATTCGTGGGTATCAATTGCGAGGATGCCTTTGAAATTGGGCTACTCAAACCTCGAGATATAAATGTGAGCTTTTCAAGATCTCAACAGATTACATTTTCGAATATACGAAGTTACTTACGGCAAGAATGTAATTTTCAGGGAGAAGAAATTGTGTACTCTGCTGATGACCGAAGTTCCTCGACTTCTTCCGATTCGAGCCAAGAACAGGGCGCTGAAGAGGTTTGCCTTACAGTGGTTTTATTTTTTCTTAATTCACTGAATATCACTGGCCCTTTGTCGTATGCTCTTTCGAGAAAACTACGGCAAGGTTACAACAAGCGACTTTACATTTAGATAAAGTCTTTAATAAAGAGAAAACAGAAAAATTTAAAGTAAGAAACACAAATAGATCAACAAAAGTAAGGAATAGACTATTAGTAAAGGAGGAGATGAAGTCGTATTCCGCAATTGTTTGGAAGTATAACAAAGACAAGGTAGTAAGTATTTTTATTGATCAGAAAGGCGGCCTTCATGATAACATGGTTGCAAAATTCATTTATTAGTTTCACTTTTGCCAAATTAGGCCCGCTAGTTGACCAAAATATATTACTAGCGCTAAAATAATCTAACAGCCATTTTAAGGTCCAAGCGGATTCAGATGACAGCAGGACAAGTGAAGTGTTTTGATTGAACGAGTTCATTTCTTGTGATTCCAATTCTGTAAGATCTCATACCTGTACTATCTGAATTATTTTTATGTATTATTTGTATTTTACTACGCATAGTACTTTCACTGATGAGTGCATGGTGTTTCGCTTGTTCCCTATTGTTCCTGTTACTCTAATAAGTCAGTCGTTGAGTTCCGGTATATCGTGTTTCGTGCCTTATTGTTAGTACAGAACTTCGGTTATCTTCAGTCCTTTCCAACGTTCCTATCAGTTTTTGCATATACAAATTTAGAAGCTTAATAAATTTTTAATTCTATCGGTCTTATTGTTAGTAAATGCGTGGTTGTAAAGTGAGGACTTCGCCATGCAGAAAAAATCGCACAGAATTCGCTAAAAATTAGAAAGAGTACTACAAATAATAAAACAACACAAAATGATTCATGGGAATGACAAAATAAATTGGGCACAACGCGTTGAGCAGGATAGTAGCGACATTTGACACAGGGTGTGGCACTTACACGATAATTTGTGATCTTGGCCCCGCCTATTTATGATATTCCAGGTCAGGAATTTGAGGGTAGAACTCTCATGAAAGACCGAAATTAGTGGGAAAAGCCTCGTGTCTTCGTCACTGAGACAGTAAGCAAATAGTTCTCAACAGCCTGTAGTCTCTAAGCCTGAGATTTTTTACTAGGCCTTTCCCAAACTCTGTAGAAAGATCATCCACAACCGTCTTGACCCTAGCATCAAGTACTCGTTTTTATCACAAACTCTGAAGGCACCTTTCATCATCTTGACCCCTTTCTTTCCGTTCGATTAAAAGCCTTAGCCATGGTTGTGTTTGAGAGTGTTCAATTCTCAAACGACGTATTCTGTTGAAGAGAATTTGAATTTTGCACTTTCATGAAGCGCTTGGTATACACAAAACGCATCCCCCGCCTAACATTAGTATTCCTCTCATCGAAACTCCCATTAGCCATGTTTTATACATTTTTCCAGGAGCTTTCCGTTGTCCGGTATCTTACCTCATAGCCTGTTGCCTTCCGATTCCGTCTTTTACGTGGGTAAGTGCAGAAACTTTGAGCGCCTCAAAATGGTCAACCCCTTTTGAATTTGCCATACGCCAACTTACATCCAGAACCATAAAAGGCAAAGTGCTTGCTTCAACAAGGGTCGAAGTCGTTGCCTTTCATGGTGAACACATATATACGCATTCTTAACCACTCGACCTTTCCCCTCTTCTTAAGCATCACTACCTCTCTCTTGTTCAATCCAATTCTCTGTCTTACCATTCCGATGGGACATCCTCATCATCAATACCTTTCAGAACCACCGGCACAATGGACGAAGATCCTGATAAATCGATAGACGAAGGGCTTTCCAGCAAACCGACAAGACAATACAAGTCTGACAATGAGAGGAGATCTCATTCCAGCACAGTCAGATCACGAAATGAGAAGGCTCAGAAGAACAAGGGGGCAGAACTACTAGATACGACTATCTCACAGTCCGCGTATACACCCATCATGACCATACCGCCGGCGGTATCCCTTCCCTTCACGGTTGAACAAGATACTGATGTTAGTCTCAAACCCTTCCGCATGGCATCATCAAACGACACCAGCATCGCTTTCAACGAGACGCAGACCTTGAACGACTTCAAAAATCCGACGGAAGTAGATAACTCGACGGTGATCCTTTTTCGTGTAGTCACCGTCCTCTTCACCATCAAGATGATTATCCGGACAGTACAGGTACAGTTACGTTAGCCTTACTATTAGAGAATACTTTATCACTCGACGAATAATTCAAGAAAACTTGAGTCCGAGGCAAAATATCGCTGTAATTCATTCCGAGTTCGTTATTTAGTTTTTCTACAAAGTTGGATTGAGTGGTGCTTACTGGATATTACAACTATGGAAACACGTAAAGGCGCGACGAGCAGGCGGAAAGAAAAATGGCACGACTGATATTCGATGTCTCGGTAAGGGCTTTACCTGATCCCGATACAATGGTTTATGCCAGTCCGATACGAGAATTTCGCTACTGAGATGCAATTCCTCTGAAGAAGTGGGGGTCCGGTGGCCCACTTCCTGGTCTTTCTACTGCTTACCATAATTTCGTAACACTCCCACTCAGGGGAGGATATTTTCAGGAGGAATGAGCATAGGCTTTCTGAAGTTTATGGCGTCTCTGCTAACACCGTCAACGAAAAAGTGCCGTACATCGCATTCTTTTAAAGGTAGGCACTTTTCATCTCTTGAACGTACTTCATGTACGGGCAACCAAAATTATGGTGCTCTCTGGGAGTGACTTTCCAATAATACTTCCTTTTTTCAGGATCGGAAGAATCAGCCTCCACTGTTCAGAAAAAGAAAGTTGCTGGAACGAGTAAGAGTCACAACTCCGTCTGAGCCAGTGCATCGCCTCTTACTAACACCTAACTTTATGCTTGCTATCGATAGAAAGAAGATATAATCTCCAGTTATAATCAGTTAGAACATCAGTAGTGTCTTTTTGATAGAATAAATGAATTACTTGAGAAGCGAAGTCGAAATGGTACGATCGCTTCTCTGATATTTTGCCACTCGGCTGTTCTACCCGTCTTGACACTTATAAAGTGTAGCTAGCTGGCACATTTTTTACCCTTTATGTTTCACCTACCGTCTTCTAATGCTCAAGATGGGAGCCTAGCTTTGGCACAGTACGAATTCCATTGATATGAAGATGAATAAGAAAGAAGGTCCTCATGTTCTGGACTACTGTGAGAACGATATGGTCCCTTAAAAGATGAGGTGTGAGGTCAGTAAACTCTACAACTCATTCAACTACATTTCTTCTTTTCAACATAAATTCCTGATAAAAAAATCGACCTTTCGCGGGTGTCAAATCATTAATCATTAATTCGTAAGAGAAAAGCATTAATTCATTAGCGCTGTTCTACGAAATCACATATTCCGTGCACAAAGTAATAATTTTATGCGACGCTCAGCATTTATACATGTACCAAACCGCCGTCAGTTATTGCACCCCTACTAGTTAGCCCTCAGTGAACGGTATTGTGCTAGGGTTCGATAGGGTTTTGATTTTGTTTGTTTGGGACAGATTTTTTCGATACTTCCCGCTCGTATATATGAAATCCGTCTCAGATTCTGTTTGATCCAACTAATATTCGAAAGTAATAAATTACTGATAATGCATATTTTCAGAGAAATCGCAGATCGGTATGCAATGAGGTAGGTCAAAAGTGGTTTTTTCATTGGTCATTGGTCGTTATCCGTTATCCAAGCAAAGATAGGAGAGGGCAGAAACTTCCCTTGAGCAGATAAAGCTCCCCTTGAAGACAACATTCGCTTTAGGTGGGACTTCGTAAAGCAGCACCCGGCTTATTGACTAAACTGCCAGCAGTTAGAAAATTCAGGTTACGACAATCAGGTAACCAGTGACCAAAGATTTTTCCAGAACCGATCTAGGACTTACCGGTAATGGATTTGAAGATGATCCGGCGTTTGTTCATGACTTCATAAACGGCGGCGAGATGCCTGAAATGACAGTATTCTTCCACTTGGCTCTCATCCTATACTGTTTGAAAACAATCTTCTGGCTTATCAAAGTAAGTTGGTCGTGCTTTTCGTTATATAACTGTTTCCCTTAACCATAATTACCTAGTCATGTCCTGCAAGGATAAAAGCGCAACCTCAAAACTACATCATCCAAGTGAAAAATCAAAATCAATCAAACCACAGTCACTTCCTGTACCTCGAACTTATCGCTAACTTAACGCTCATGGAATTGACAAATCGAATATGCCAAATTTAATGATAGCCGTAACAGATAATAATGCAGCGACGAATAATCTGGTTGTTATAAAATCTGATAATTATTATGAGTTCAAAATTCTCACAGTCTCAGTACCACACCTACACAACTACTTGATGTTCCATTCAAGCCTAATACACAGTTGGATAGAATATCAGTTTGCTATTGAAACAGTTTTGTTTAGCTGATCATCGGGTTCCAGTACCAAATGCGACGCTTCTTGGAAAACAGAAGAAATTGTCGGAAGAGCATAAGAGAAGATCAACAACACGGTGATGAGGAAGCAGTAGCCACCATGGCTGCTGAACTCGAAGCTCCTCCTGTGCTAGCTCCGTGCACAGTATCTCTTTCAAACGAAGCTCGTTACAAAGCGGCTCCTCCCAGAGAAGATTCTGGTAGCTTATCTTTTTCTCTAGAAATTCCCTGCGAAGAATCCCCCACATGTCGGCGCCACGAGGTAGTTCCCTGTTGCGACAATCCTCTTAATGGAGGACTTCGTTTTGAAAAATCTTGTGATAGAAATGTTTCTAATGATTTGTAGGTGTGATGCGAAAGTAAACAGCTTTTTCACAACCACCTTTTCATTTCCATGTCATTGCAGGAGGTATCGGCCAGGCAATTCTAAAGTACTAGCACCTCTAAGAACTCTCTGCACACTCTCACTGCTAACGACGTTACCGTGCTCACTCATAAGGTGGTTACACCCTACCTGGTTACACCCCCAAAGACAACTCTTCAAAAAAAAAAAACAGAATGCTGTCTCATAGTGCCGGTAAATTCGTCGGTCGTCTCCACCGTACGGGACAAAGTCGCGTGCTGAGCTTTTGATCTGAATTTCACGGAACCCTGACCAAGAGATGCAAGTGTTTTATGAAATAATATTTAGACAATATCTATTCATCAAAACTCAAAATAAAAGACTAGAGGACATTGTGCATCCATCAAAAACAGTTGGTTAGCCCTTAGCGAATCTGAAAAACATGCATGCATCATGGAAATGAGACACAATGAATAAGACGGATTAGAAATGGCTTATTCTAAGATCTTCCTTCTGGGTACTCTTTGATCTGGCAGTAATATGGTTACTGCGAACTTTTCTTAGCGAACTCGTTTTGATTTCCACGAGTCACGAGCAACCAGAAAACACACAGACTCCACATCCCTGCGACTAGATTCTCGACGACTCCGTGAGTATAGGCACCTTATACGAATCCACCAAAGCCCAACATTTCCTTTCCCCGTACCTTTGGAAAATTGCATGCACCTTCTCTAGACAACGCATACTGTACGAGCGCCTATTGTATTGATGTGATAATTGTTTAAACAATCAAAATATAAACACAATTAATGACAAGAACGAGATCACTTGGAAAAGCAGTAGGTGAAATATCCGGCTGCCCAAAAGTGCCAGTGGAGCAGCCACAAAAGTCTGAGTGACATTAGTTCCGCTCCTTCAAGAAAAACAGATTAGGCCATATCAATAAGCAGGTGATCATGTGAACTACTACTTGCTACTTGGTAGTTCTCAAGAGGGAGAGCTCCATCTCCTATACCTATATATGCAGCAAGACTACTCCATATGCATGTGTGTACAATACCTCTCACCCCGTCTTGATTATCTTTAGTATCAGGCGTGTTGTTTGATTTCAAACTGGCGAAGTCAAAGTCGAAGATTTGTTATGAAACATTGGACCAATTCATTTTGAAGCTGGGGTGAACTTTTCTAGCTCGCTGTCTATAGGTGGCAGATTACCACGACTACCGCAATCGCCATCGACTTCAAAACTCCGGATACTACATATACGGCTTGAGCTGACACCACTGAACTTGCACGAAAGGTCCTGTATAACCGTAAAGGCTGTGGACCAATTTGCTNTTTTGCTCCACAATTTGGCCTTGTCAACTAACTTCAAATCCTGCTAGTCTGGTGACAAGAAACGTCACCTACTGCCTACTGATTCACACTGTGATGGTGCTTAAACTAATATTGAGCCTCTTTTGTAGAAAAATTGATTGCTGTTGCTGCTTCTCCGGCCCAAGTTATTGCCGACATAGTCGAATTCCTCGAAACTCACTTTTGAAGACGAAATATGAGGTCGTTCTTCTTCAGAAAGATTAAGAGCCGAGTGTCACACAGTGCAATCGTCATGACAGCTATGTTCCACCAAATATGTTTGGCTGAAAATGTCAATTTCAGAGTCAATATCGTCCCGTCCTTAACACAGGGAGTGTAGGAAACACAGGAACTTTTCTTGGAAAACTATACATCAAATAGCTTCTGTCTATACAACAGCATATGAAGAAATTGAACTACCTGCATTCGGAATTTCACTGGTTTTTGGCACCGAACTGTCTAGAATGTCGGTCAACACGAGAAGTGACGTGAGCGACGACAAGGTGACTACGGTCTGAAGATCAACAGTGAATAAATGACCAGAACTATATCGTCACTTAAGTTGTAAAAAGGTGTTTCGATTGCGATTGGTTGATACAATCTCAGTCTAAGTCCGACTGGATTGAGTAAAGCCGTCTGTAGAAATTCCAATCTTTCTAGTCAAATGTCCAGCATCTATTCAACAGTATCTTCAATTCTATTTGAATCGAAAACTACCTAGACCTATACAAGTTTCAATACTACAAAACCAGCGAAGTTTTTTTCGGAGCAGATGGATAAAACATATGTGAATCAACATATTTCACCTGATCAATAAATCCAGCATCCGATATCCAAAATAGAGCGAACACGGAAATATTGGTGATTAGTTGAATTGGAATGATCATTAATGTCACGTAGTAGGTTGATAATCGATGCATTTCGAATATCATCGAGGCCTGAATTCAATAATATAAATAAGGAAAGGGTCAATGCGAGAAGTGTTTCTCCACCAAAGTTCCCAGATTGTAGAAAACTCGCCTGGCATTGAAATCGACCCTTAAATAGGGTAGTTTCCGTATGTCGTTAACACAAAACAAAGTACACAAACTGTGGGGCAAAAAAATAAAACGGAATGGTAGTTTGAAATATGTATGTAAAAACAAATTGGAAAAACCTGAACTGAATAATAGGGCTCGACTCCGTTGCTGACCAGTTCTGTTTTTATTGTAATGTTTTCTAAAGCCCATTCACCGTTGCCCTGAGAAGATCACTAATTAGTCAGACCAGAGACCAGGATCGACGTAGGTTGCCTGAGAGAAGCTGAGGAAACCTACGTTGAATATTGCGTCTTTGATAATCGTTAGCGACAGATCCGTTTCTGATGGGTCCATGATATACTCCGCGAAATCTAAGTAACACTGCTGTGTATCAAAAGGAAAACGGCTGCTCTGAAATACTTTGTATGAAGCCCAATTCTTCAAGTTTATCCAAAAAACACCAAACAAAGTCAAAGAAAATGTTACTACTCTAGTTGAGCTTCAACTTCTTTAACAAGAGGACATTAATCAATTGCAATACTACCTGAATAGTACAAGTAAACAACACCGAGAGCGAAAATACACGCAGGATATCACCATTCGAACTGATGATCAGATTGTCCGGAAACGTATCCTGGTCAGCCACTGGTTCTGATTGCATTCTGTGATCACATAATCAATCGGCCGCAATCAGTGTGAATGTACAATCATATTCAAATTTTTAAGGCATTCAATAATTAGGATTTAAAAGGCAACATGAATATTTGCCAAGGAAAGGAACGATAGTGAACGCCGGTCAAGGCAAAATTAGCTTTTGTATGTAGATGCTAGGCGGGAATCTGGTCATGACGCTACCATTCTTCTAAGAGGAAGATGACAACAAAGGTAGCTTATCTTGAATATTGCACCATATCTCTCATAGTCGATGTTGATCCCCAGAATATGCCATATACCATGGAAATTTCTTTACTGCTTGAGAAGGTATAAGGATGCGTTTTCGACCACTACGAGGTCTTTGTCTTGTTTTTGTTAACTAATCATTGTCCAGGTCGGTAGCTTCTACCGTTCAGGGGTGGAAGGCATGACCAACTCAGAATTGAATTTTATGAAGATTCTAACCCACATGGTTAAGCTAGCTGATAGCAGTGTTTAATAGGAAAACAAATGGCTGTCTAAAATCATGTTTTAAAAAGTAGAGGAAGACAAATAAAAAATGAAAACATCACACAAAAGAAAAGTATATGTTGAATTCACATATTCGCAGCGAATACTGCTGGGGTCCAGACTTTATGCGTGGGTGCAGTGATGTGGCTAAGACCAGCGTAATCTGCCGGATTCCATGTGAGGCGTGGGTCGGTCCACCTCTGAAAATAACACTAGGCATCTGAAGTGTTGTGGAGCAGCCTCGTAAGAAAAAGATACCGAGAAAAAAGTTAGCAATCTTTTTTCCAGGTACAGGTGAAAATAAATATCAACGGCAATGTACAGCGGGTATTTTGAGGGCAAATGACACCCTCTCGACCTTTTGACTAGTGCTTAATCCTATTGCTGACGATTTCGGGACAAAGTTGGCTGCCCCTGGGTGCTCCTTATTGGTGCATTGAAAAGCTGCCTGGAGTGAGACTTGTTAAGCAAAGTCTACATTCATGTTTGGAGGGCGTTGCACTGAGCATTTCTGAGCCAGAAGGTAACAAAACCCTTCTAATCGGCAAAGCGTTAACGCCATTAATCAATCTCATGTTTAACATACTATAAAGTTTAAAAGTCTAAGTAAATGACCCGGTATCTGCCATTTTAACGAAACTCATTGAAATCTCAACTCACTAGGCGGTACTCGAGAATCGACCTGATCAGCTGATTACTGTCGTCCTGAAATTTTCAGGCACAAAAAATCAAAATTAATGGATTACTCAGACATATCATACTTGTCGAGATCACTTTCGTTAAAGTTGATGCCCGACCAGTGCTGGGGCACTTTACAGAGGCACCTTACGATAGGCTTTTTATAAATGTCAACCATATGCTTGTTGATTAGCAAACACTTACCACATCTATGATTGTCATCATTATGATTTCGATAGCACAGTGAGTTTTTGGTATAAGTCCAAAACGACCATTATTGGATTCCCATCGAGGTTTGGTCAGCGATTCCAATAGAAAGCCTTCAACAGCGGGCAGATATTAGGGAGGAAGAGAAACAACGGATGCATCAAATCAGAACGCGGCATTTAAACAACTGCTATATTATAAAGGCTAGTCTGATTGCTCATCGTTTCCTTTTCTCACCTAATGTTACCTGCTGACCTCACACATGCTTGACATGTAATAAACAAACAAACAATCAAATAAACGAGGACCGGAAAAAGGATGGCCTCCATTAGAATGATTCAAAACAAAGGGATCCGGTGTCTCGAAAAAACTTACGCTTCGTGAAAACAGATGGCAACATTGAGTTGTACCTATCGAATAAGTCCGAGTATAATCGCCGATAAGCTAACGTGATCTCCGATGCTAAAATCAGAACATGGAAATAATGAATCGAAAAAAGGTGCATGCTGAGCTCACCGTTTTGTTGTCCGAAAGTTGCTTCTACCAGTATTGATATTAGGGCAATGAAAGTGTAAACTGCCATCATCAATAAACTTGAGAAGGATCTAAAAAAATGAAATTAGATGCCCGGAAAGTAGAAGAAATGCTAACGTATGTGGTCACGAAGCAGCTGGAAGGTGTAATGAAGGAGGCCCAATCGAATCTACATTCTCGAATGATAGTAATTTTCATTGGTCGAATCCATAAACATCTTGGAAAACCGACGTCAGATTCACTGGCTGCATGACCTCTTGCAGGCTAACCCTATTTTCGCTTTTCGCTTTTAGGGAATGAATCGTATTCGAGCGATTTCTAATAGCTGTGATTTTTGGATACATAAAAAGTTCAAAAACAATTTCGCGAACCACGTTCACAACTAGAAGTGAAAAACGCTAGCGTAGGCACAAAATGTTTGAATATTTGATGAGGTGTCAAATTACGTTCGCCCCAATCCAAAAAGGGTTTCAGTAAAGCTGAAACAGCGACTAAAGAGCTGTCACAATCTTCTGAGTAGATAAACATTCGCAACAGAAACTGCACACCACCTTTTCACGAGTCCTTCATGTAGGCCTATCCCTTCTAGTGTGCTGAAGTGGGGAAAAGCTGTAAGAACGAAGCGACAGACAATTGCAGCTTAACGACTTGCCAGGCTTTCGATTTCTTTCGAAGTTTTATACCGGTCGGAGGACACCAAGTACCAAGAACATCAAGAATACATGTTATTTCAATGAGAAGTCCAAGGAAGACCACTCACCGAACCCTGCTACTTCATTTCCGCGCTTCTGAATACACCCCATGTTCTCGTTCTTACCTCTTTGCTTTAGCTTCTTTAATGTACAGAAAAAGCTACCTTTTTAGTGAGTATTTCCAAATGAATTAGAACGGAAAGTGACCGTGTTTTCTAGCATTTACCGTAAACTTCCACTGACAATTTAAATCTTTCCCATTCGCAGCGCCAATAGGATGCGACAAGCGAGGCGCGTCATCCGTGTGAAGAAATCCAAATCTTTACCAGTCAGTAGCTACTTTCGTTAGACGGAGAGTAGGAACGGTTTTGTGAAATCGATCCGCCGCACGCGGCTGCCGCGGACCACTTACCTCGTTATAACAATTCTAGCGATCTTCACTTAGTCCAATCACTATGCGACTATTACTTTTGGCATGATCCTACTGTTAGTTCTTTTTTTTCCTGTATTTCTTACTTGCTGCTGCATTCTGCTACATTCCGTCGCGTGCGACGTCTCTCTCATCGCCAAGCGACAATTTCGTTCCTACTGCTGGACACCCGCTGCATTCAGACTTCAAAGACGTACGACCGTCTCTTCGTGCGTGCGTCCCACCGACGGCAGCACTATCCACTTGTTGACGACGCTGACACGTGATCCACCGGCGTCCAGTGTTGTCAACACATAACCAGCAACACCGTCGGTAGGTCGGTCGGTCGGACGCACGCAAGGAAGGATAGTCATTGAAATCTGAAAGCAGCCAGTTGCGTCTGGATTACGAACAATGTGGGTAATCACTTGGGGACCGACATCTGTGATTTGCCACGTGGACATAGTACACGACGAGTTAAAACGCGAATTATCGTGAAAACGAGCGTTTGCCCTTGTATTTGACAAGTTCATACACGTTTCGCGGTGTTTTGTCGAGTAATAGAGTGCAGCTTCGAAGCTCATCTCCATATCATTGTTATTCTCACTAGAGTCATCCCGTGAGTATGCCGGGTCTTACACGAGTTCGTCGAATTAAGACTCGCACCGGGGAGCTATTGTTTTTGCTGTGCGTCTCTTTTAGTATTTTATTCATACCACTTCAAACCTTTGTTTAGGAACTTCGAGGTTAACCATGTATATCACTTGTTTCAATGTTATCGCATTTGTGCGTCGACTGGCAGTACATCTTCTTCCCGCTCTATTTCTGGACGAAAAAACACTCGACTTGGTCTCTTCTCCACTACTGAAATTTATGTTTATAGAGCAGAATGGCTTCACAAAAAGACCTCTATGATATGCTATCATCGATTAGGGATTGCACTAGACGAGTTCGGACGAACACCCACGCACTACATCGTTTTCTTCTGGAAGAATTCTTGTTGAGCATGGTATGTCATAAATTCTTTTTTCTTATTTTTTTGCGTTCACGATGTATGGATTTTGCCATTTGCAACTCATTAAAAACACAGGGGAGTGACGAGAAACGGTAGTTTAACTTGTATACTACAAGAGTACATTTTTTACCTGCCTTTTTACTTATCACCTATATTTTCTATTGAGTTTGTAAGCTCTCAATCTATTTATCCTTCCAAGACGAACTAACTTGCAGGATCCAAAGCGAGTATTGCGAGAGGACAACGCAACTATGGACAGTATTAGTCAAGTAGTGGAAAAAATGAATTCTCAGGCAATACATAATTTTTTACCCATAACACTCATCATAGCGGGGCTACTAACAGAGCTGTGATACTGTACTCATAACAAATTAGGTTTGCCCCACCGTAACTGCCGATATCAGAAATCTACCTTTACTTCATAATTGCTGTGGTTGATCGCCGATTAAGTAGTGCTGGGCTGGAATACTCGTATGGATCGCGTTGTCTTATTGCGCACGAACTGAAACATTTGGAAATTGGTAATGGAAAAGTAACGTTACTCTAAAAAGTTGGTTGGTATGAGGCACTTTGACCATGTCAGTCCATCGGACACGCTTCTTGACACTCGTATATTTCTGGAATACTCGTATGGATCGCGTTGTCTTATTGCGCACGAACTGAAACATTTGGAAATTGGTAATGGAAAAGTAACGTTACTCTAAAAAGTTGGTTGGTATGAGGCACTTTGACCATGTCAGTCCATCGGACACGCTTCTTGACACTCGTATATTTCATCTCCTGGTTTACTTCCCACTTACCATTGGTTTTTTTTTCAACAACACTACCTTCATTCCAAGACATTTTCACGAAAAATATTTGGGCTAAGAGACATGATCAGCGCTCGTAGAACTTTTTGTACACTGTCTGGCACAGGCCGGGAGGATCTTTCTAATTGTTTGCAGACCATACATAAATAGGGTGGCTAATCTTGCTCGATAGGATAGTTGACTATCTCGGTTCATATTTCTACGATCATTCGTCCAGTTTTTTTTTACGTTTATTTTCCAAAGTAATATGAACAATGTTCAGGTGAAGACGCTTGAGCACCGCCTAAGGCATGTTGGCAAGAATCTTGAGCTGAATCAAGAGTATGATTTGTTTTACGATGATAGTATAAGTTCAATATTTCTAGGTGTTACTAAAGCCATATTCCGTTCTAGACACAATTGCATAGTTGATATTGAAAAATAATTTNATTTCTAGGTGTTACTAAAGACCATATTCCGTTCTAGACACAATTGCATAATTGATATTGAGAAATAATTTGAGAGCTGTGTCATGAAGTGTATTCTCTCACTAAATAGAATAAGCTATGTATATTAATGTTATAGTGTGGCAAATCTGACGGTGAAGAAATCACTTACTAACTGATTATTCTTACAAAGACCTTTTACAGTGCCTCAATTTGTCATGCTAGCTGTTAACCCTTCCTCTGGAGAAATTTCTATTCAGAATCTAAACACTTTTTAGATTTCTTCTTTACCTTTCGAAGGAACTCAATGAATCCGCCAAGGACGACAAAGAGGTGACTTACGTTTATAAGAAATAATTCTTGACCATGTTCAATAATTATTCCCGACAATTAGCCAATACCGGCTGACCCCTTTCCACCTCGCATGGCTGAATCAGGCGGCATCGACCAGCCAATTTGTAGATCTTGTGAGGTTAGGCTATTGTTTGTTCTTTGCTTCTTGAACATTTCTATTTTCAAAACGAGTTACTGAGTACGATATGTAATTGAAGTTCATTTTCAAGGTTCTGCCTGCTGATGTCGAGCTTAAGCATGAAAAGGAGCCCGAGGTTAGCGATTCACTTTTTTTATATTTCCAAGCCATTTTAAACTATAGATCAAGAACTGTAATGGTGTTATAGGATAATCCCCCTTCGTTTCATAAGCATATTCGCTCTTCTTGATGAACTCATTTGAGAACATTTGGATTGATTGGCNAAAGGGGAACGTGGAAAAGCTTGTTAAAAAACTGAGTTAGTGACAGATGCTTGAGGGATAGTGGCCCATGTCCTATGCTGAGCTCCATATTAACACCTTACCACCAAGCTGGCCTGCGCTTCACAGGAACATCCTTCTCTTTTTAATTTTTCTAATCATCTAGGATATCCAAGAGCTTTCTAATAAAGTGGTGTGTTTGTAGCACCCTCGGCTCAGACGTAACACCGATTGATTATGGACTCTACGAAAGAAGTCCCATAATCCCCCGTCGTCTAAGATTTATTAAGATATTATCTTTCACCGTGGGTTTCATTACCATGTACACATTTTCATTATTGTTTCGTTCGGTAACAACAAAATTAGTCTCTGTATATGCACAGCTATGCAATCGTGTTGTAGTTTGCGGTGTTCGAGATATTTCTTCTTATTTCACGGCTTACTGGTATTTATTTCATCGTGTCGTCACTGTGGTATTTATAGAGATCGCATTGATACGCCGATTGCATACAAGCTCAAGGAGGCTTTACTACCGGTTGCCTTCCTTCTCAACAACATCAGCATACGGACCCTTCTTCCTGTTGATAAACGAATGTTTTTTCTGTTTCCGAATTGAAGTTGTTTTCTGATTCTGCNTTATACGAGAGGATATCTTTATTTCATTTTTGCACAATCCCAATGGATTTCGTTGAAGTGTAAACATTCGTATAATATTAATAAAGCGGTCCAATCATGTATGACGATTCTCATCGATTGTCTGTGGAGTGTCTCGTGGATACTACAAGTAACTACTCGTACATTTCATTAACATTTAGCTAATTTATGATGAAATACTGGTATGCTAACGGTGCTCCTTTGCATGACAGTTGATTTATAAGCCAGCCAACTTCGCCCTTCTCTGTCATATATGGCACCATCCACTTACACTGTGGATGAATAGCTCCCTTGCCTTTCTAGAACTTACTGTAGGACCAAAAGAGAGACTAGAGCCTTTTGCACAGTGCGACCCTCCTCTACTTTCTTCTGTAAACTAAATCTTGACCGTTGGTTTGGTGATCATTCTCCTCACAAACATGATTGTAATGATAAGGCATCCCTATAAAAGATGTAGGTAGGGGGTGGTGAGCATCATTTATATGGCGTTACCTACATGACAACCAGCCCCTGCCCTATCGAAGAGATCCCACCGTGCTTGAACGTACGAGAACTTTCTCGACTTCTCCCTTTCGGTTTGTCACAACCATTTCAACAAATTTTGTTTTCAGTTCGACGTGAATCTTCTTAAAGAGCGTTATTATCATGGTCTATTACCGAGGGAAGACGTGCTGTACCTTTTGCACAAAGATGGCGACTTCCTTGTACGGATCACTGAGGTACAGCTGAAAAGGGAACCGGAGGGATAACCGACGCACTTCCCAATCTTCTTGGAGCTCCCTGTTTCAGGCCGACAGCATGGGGGAACGAACCGAGATGGTCTTGTCTACATTGCATGACCCTCATGGACATTTCAGGCCGGGCACTGGTGAGCCAGTTGAAGATGATAATGTGAGCACTTTCAAAGTAGCATGGCTTTGATTGCATTCACCGGTAATCGATGTACATTTTAGGTTGTGCATGCAATTATTCAAACTCGAAAAAATAAATATTATGTTGATGATTTTAATAATACGTTCAACACTGTAAGCGACCTAATTGATCATTTCATGAATCACCCTATTTTCATTAGATCGGTAAGTTCAATCGACAAATTTGAAGGAAGCACGCGATCATTCAAGTTGAGAGGATGTAATACACCTTGAACTTCAGCTAAAAATCAGAATTAAACGACCGATAAGCTTGGCATCGTGGGAGTTTCGTACTGATGGTTTCTTACTCGGTGAAACAATTGGCAAAGCGGGTTGTATCGAAGTGAGAAAAGGTCTGATCCAGAAAGATGACAAGGAGATCAAAGTGTCAGTGACAGCGGTGAGGTCTTCAGTTCTGAGACAAAGTCATGCCGATAAATACCAGAGATTAACTTCAAAACAAAATGTAATTCCTTCTGAAAAGAAACTGGGCTCGAATCCCATATCCCTGCCCCATTAGCCCAGCCAACAGGATCAAATTCTGGTGATCAATTTGAAGGCGGCATACCACGACAGGATCAAACTTCAGCACCCCTCATAAACATACCTCGGAGATGTGAATACAACCATATGCTCTGATGGGGTAAGAATTGAACATCCAATTGGTTCACCCACCCCAGAGCTCCTTCCCTAACTTTTAGAAAGGGGGAACTCCGGGATGGGTAAGATGATAAACGGTGTAAGACTTGAAGAGACACAGAGCACAAAAGGGGCCTGGCAGAATCATTATTGGGAATGATTTGCAGGTGACAGGACGATCTCGTGAGGCGAAAGTGACCATAAGTGAGCTGTTGCGGCAGTGTCGAATGGTCCGCGATTTGCATCATCCATGTGTCGTGAAATTCTTCGGAGCATGCCTCATCTCACAACCCTGCTTCTTTCTGATGGAGTATCCTTCAGGTGATATCGAACTAAATATAGGAAGATTGTAGACCAGTTCGCCAGTACTCGCATATTTCAGAAGGTCCACTCGACATGTTTCTCGAAAAATATCGTGGGACGTTAAAACGCGATGAGTTGCTGCAGATGACTATGAGCGCCGGTTGGGGTCTAAACTTCCTGCACTCGGCTGGAATCATTCATCGAGATTTGACAGCCAGGAATTGCTTCTATGATAAGCAAATGGTAAGCGCCAATTTCAACAAAGGGGATTTGTGCGGTGAAAACTCTGCAATTATCGTGGTCCCAATGGTGATGTTAAGGTCAAAATCAGCGGCTTCGGAATGTCAAGAAAAGCAAACGTCTACGTTCAGAAGATGGTGCGACGCATGATGGTCAGATGGATGGCGCCCGAAACGCTTTCCGCATTGCGATTTTCTCAGAAGTCTGACGTCTACATGTATGGGGTCAGTTCCTCTGAAGGAAAAGACTGGAGGGTTCTCCGGAGTCAAATGAGCGATGTCTCGTTACTTCAGATACTCATCTACGAAATATTCTCACAGAGCGAACCTTATGAAGGTTTGTCGAACCAGGATGCCAAAGCTCTGGTGAGCACTATAACACAGCTTTAAGCCTATTCCTTTCCATTTGATGAGGCGTAACGGTTTGATCTTATGTCACTTGAGTGGTTTATCTGCTAAGAATAAATTGTTTAGATTCTGGGAGGACGAGTCAACAACTTTCCTGGAAAGACACCAAAACAATTGGCCCGATTTGTAATGGAGAAGTTGTGGCATCCTGATCCCAGTAAACGGCCAACTATGGGAAATGTAAGTCCCGTGTCATATGTACAGCGGATATGCGACTGAGGGATTGAACGGCTCAGAACTGAACAGAACGCACTGCTTAGTGTATCGAACTTTAGGCGCTACAGTGGCTGACTCAATACACAGGCATCAAACTGCAGATTGGAACGATGCAAGATGTAAGTTGTAGTACTGGTAAAGAGCTGCAAATCATTTTGAGTAGATCCATATGCAAAGTCCAACCATCTGGTATTCAGGATCCCTTTGTGTTGCCCCAGCATAGACGTCTCTCAAGTTAGAGGGGCTAGGGCCAATCCGCTTCACTTGACGACCCAAATCTTTTGTGTTGTGATGGGTCACGCCTATCGGATACCTCTCGCTCTACTGTGTAGCATATCCCCTCATGACGCACCTTATATGATGTCGCATCTTCCTTTTCTAACCTTTCCTCTTGAATCATTACCTTTCAGAGCCCTGCTGTAATCAGCCAGTACTTCGCAGCCCCCGTACTCAAAGACGAAGACTACAAGGATGATGGGAAACCGGCACATGCTTCTGGTAAAACACCAAGACTTCCTCCGAAAGCACATACCCCGGTAGCGGCTAGCCCTCGAGTGGGCACACCAAGAGCTCGTACTCCAGTAGCGGCTAGCCCTCTAGTGGGCACACCAAGAGCTCGTACTCCGGTAGCGGCTAGCCCTCGAGTGGGCACACCAAGAGCTCGTACTCCGGTAGCGGCTAGTCCTCGAGTGGGCACACCAAGAGCTAAAACACCAAGAGGACGCAGCGATAAAGTTCTTGCAAACCGCGATAAACGAGTAGCCGAGGATAAACAACAAAAAACACTTACTAAGAGTTTGATGCAGGAATCATCTGTAATTGGTCCTGCTCAAGGTGGCGCTCCATCGCTTCCACAGCTTCCTGTACGAAAGATGCCACAGGTGAAGAAAGCCGAGTATGAGAATTTAGTGGCTTTCGGTGTTGGTATTCCACAACTACAAAACTTCGATGAAACATCTAATCGCACGGAAATCTCGTACTCGAATTACGATGAACCTTCACAAGTTAGAGCGAGGACCCCTCCAAGAAGTCAATGGCAGAATAGAGAAGAACGGTACGGAGTTGGGAATATAAAAGGGGAGTCTCAGATGAGGTCACTGGTTAAACAGGAAGATGATTATTTCGATAAGTCAGCTGTGCAAAAAGAACCAGTAGAGAAAGATGGAACAGTTGGAGTTTCGCCGAGTGCCCAGGCCAAGACAAAGAAGCTACTGGAGGATCGCGTTTCCACCAATACACTTTGAAATATCGCCGTCAGATTATTAAGAATGAATCCATGTAAGTTATAGTAGAAATCGCTCTCTTCTTATGCATCCCACGGATTTCGGACAAAGATGAAGTAGTGTCAACTGTGGGATTAGTCGGGTCAGCCAAACTTCATCATCAGTTAGCACTGGCAAAATATGAATAGAAAGGTGAAAAGGAAGCGATCAAAGCCATCCGGCCCATTCCATGATCGATTTATCGCCATCTCAGCTTTTAAGTCACCCTTCCCAAACCTTAGTCAAGTTGGACTATTAAGGATGAACTATCAGAATGAGCCCAAATGCTC